TTGGTGTTGATATCAGGAATCTTACTGCCACAGTCCAAATAGAGTACTAATTACTGCGAATGATGTCACCGTAGGCAGAGGAATAATCCCATCATTTAATTAGTTGAATGATTTAAACAAAGATTTGCATAGATGCACTAATCAGTTGCCATGAATTACAGAGCAGCAGTTGCCAGCGAGGGGTAACAGATCATACAGTTGGAGGGAAAAAAAAATCTCATCTCCTTGAACATAATTAATTTAATTGTCCTCATTAGCTGTACCATTTGTTTTGATTTTATTTCTCCCTTTCCCCACACATACTTCTCCCTCCCTCCCTCTTTTCTTCTTCTCAGTGCATTGGCTGAGAGAGAGCGCGCAAGACACACACATACTCTGGGGTGTTTTCAGAGTGGCTGTAGCAGAGAGGTGGGGTAGAGCAGCAGGGAGCTGTGCGGATGGGTGAGGTGCATGTGTGCTTGCTTGAACAGGCCAGCAAAGCCAAACTTAAGAAACCTGCCTATGTACAGAACAAATCAACTGAAGGGGGTCTTATTATTCTGCCGTCTGTGAATTTCGTTATTTTTCAGGTTAGTTCTGAGTTTTCTTGCCTTATAAAGGGAGAGCAAAGCAAACCATCTACTATTTTATTATGAGTCTTTAAAAGGGAAGGGATTAAAAACTAAGTTATCAGTGTTGTGCCATTATTCTTTACCAAGAGGCACATTACTTAGGCTAAACATTCATTGGAGGGGGTGCTTTGATTTTTTTTTTTTAGACTGATGCAGCAGAGAAGCAAAAAGTTGTTTGTAGTTCAATTGACTCTTTCTTTGCTCTTAGACTATTTCAGCCAGGGTCATTCAAATTTGGACTATTTTTTAAGCTTGACCTTTGACATGGCTTTGTAAAAGGTGGTGAGGATGTCATAATAGCTGCCAAAAAGAGAAGATAACTTTGAAGTCTGAAAACTTAGAAAAATGATAGGATGTATGAAAGCTACCAGTAGCTTTGATAGATGGAAAGTAGAGAGAAGAAGAGGTTGGGGAGAAAAAGACCTATTTAAAAAAATAATAATAATAATCTGACAAGGCCTCAAAAACAAGCCTATGGAGACAGGGCAGGGGTGCCTCCGGCCAGGCGTGGAGACCCTCTGGTTCTTTGCTCAAGTTAGTGGTGTGCTCTTGAGTGTTTTTCCTTTGAGTGTGTGAGTTTTAAATTGTAAGGAATTCAAGCAATTGCAGGAGTGTTTCAGTGGAGGGAGAGGGGTTCAGCATTGGTTAATGGGGGGCAAGTTCACAGTTTGGCTCTAGGGCCATTAAAGAAGGAAGAGGAGTGTGTCATCAGCTGGACTGGCCATGTGTGACAGACCTGCGGAGCAGCGACTTTAGAGAGTTCCTGAATGGAAGTCAGAGACCTGGCCATTGCAAGCCACCCTCCACCTCCAAGATATTTCTTAAAGGGGAGGGCTGGGTGCTTTTCCAGCGTATTCTGGAAGCAGTTTGATTCTCTTGCTTTTATTTTCATTTCCACAATTGGTAGCTTAAAAGATGGCTTTGGGCGACAGTTTGCTTTAAATGTGGCCACCTATTCCAAAGTGCCTGATTATTTTAGGAACCCTACCCTTTTTCTCCGGAGCTCTTTTGCAGGAGTTGTTTTGGATGGGTCCGGGAGGTAGGGTCCTTCTTCAGCCGACTCCTGCAGAGGTCACTTTTTGTGCGCGGGGTCGTCCCCAGCGTTTGTGAGGAGCATATGCATGTGGTTGTGCTGACTGCACTCGCAGGCTTGTAAATTTTCACCCTGGGAAATTAGCAACAAAGCCCAATCTGTCTCGTGGCTGCTTTGCACTTTCCGAGGGCGGATGTACTTGACTGAGCTGCAGAACGGGCACAAGAGAGCAAGCGAGAGAGCCGGCGAGAGAGGGAGGGAGAAAAGCGAAGGAGGGAAAGAGGGAGGGGTGGGGGTGAGAGGTAAATAGTCTTAAATCGGAAGGAAGCTGCTTCTCTGTGGGCTTGACAAGCGCTGTCCGGGCTCTGGCGGCTCAGTAATAACCGAGTGACCTTTTCTTTGGCTGTATTATGCCTGGCTGGTAAGGGATTGCATTTTGCAGCTGAGAGCCGGGGCTTCCTTCAGCTCGGCTCCGCGCACGCTGCTGGGGTAAGTTGTCTTGAGCCAGGACGGAGAGACAGCCTCGGACTGCAGTTGTCTAAAAGGAGGACACCTGTGGCTCAGATGCGGCCAACACCGTTACTTGGCAGATCCTCGAGGACCTCATTATTTTAAACTTAAAAAAATAGCGATTCCTTGCCCCCCCCCCGTTTTTTTCAAACAATGCTTCTTTTTGACCTTTCCCAAGGAGAAGCGCTACAAAGCAGCCACTGTGCTTACTGAACGGCCTGCCCCTGTATCGCTTAACTGAGAAGGTAAGTGCAGCAACTGCGAACACACGCGTCGGCTTATTTGTGGTGTGTGTGTCTGCGGGTGCGCGCGTGCGTGTGCGGATGTGGGTCTTCTTTTTCTCCCCCAGCCTCTCCTAATGAGGCATAAACTGAGCTGCAACCCAGCTCCGCACTGCAACTTTCGCTCGGGCTGCAGCTCTGCTGAGACGATTTTGTTTAAATCATGTGAGGCTTCATTATTTTTATGATGAGACATGAAATAGATGCGGGCGGAAGATATTGATGGAAGGAGAGAGCGGCTGCAGCGCGGAACGTCTCAAGTATGACTCGAGTGGATAATAGTCAAAGTTCACGAGAACTGCAGCATTTCCACACCCCTGGCTCCCGGGGAGAGAGGGGCAGGCGAGTTCGGAATCGGGAAATGTTCGCTCCTGGCCCGCCCGGAGGAAGGGAGTTCAGTCCACGGTGGGTTCCCGGACCCTGCTCCCCCCGCCCCTTTACTTGCTGGGATTCATGACCACCACCCCCAAAAGAGTTTAAATTACGGTCTTTTGGTTCTTGTGGACACTGCCGCCGCCCCCACACAGCCAGAATGACAAAATGTTGCTTCTAAAAGATGAAAAAGTGGCTATGTTTGGGGGTTGTGGGAGAAGTGCCCCAAAAGAAAGAGGCTCAGTGGATCGAGGTGCTTATGTCCTTATAGGCTGAGATTCAAACTGATGCAGCACATTTTAACGGGGACTACCCAGCTTGCTGTTAGGAAATACAAGTCAGATTTATGATCTTTTTCATATTGAACATGATATGCTATGCCAACGCTGCATGTGACAGTTTAATCAAATCCATTTGTTACCACGAAGCTAAAAGGGGCCACTGGGATTTTAGGATTACGGGCAGAGTTAGGGAAGCATGTGGCTTTGTCGTTCGCCGTCATTTTGCACACTGCCACCCTGTGAGGGGCTCCGTGTGTGCGCCGTTTCTCTTCTGGCCGTCCTCATCCCTTCCCCCACCCTCCGCCGCCACTCCGACCCGCTCCCAAAGTGGCTACACAATAGTAGGTCCTCGGCGGTGTAGACTGCACCAGGTCCACACGTGAGCCAAATCAAGGAGACCCTCTTCCACTTCTACCTTTGGGCTTGGTGCTCAATGAGAAGCTGCTGCAACTCAGGCACGCCTAAGTCAAGTCATGCAGAAAAAGGAGAAAAGTTTTGGTAAGGTTACAATCTATCATAGATGCACTTTGCCGGCGCTCGGCGCTTTCAGCTGTTCAAAAGCCTTCCTGCTCTTCCGCTGCTTTTGTGTCTTTCTAAAACATCCGAAATATTATCGTTGTAACTGCTTTGAAAGACTGCTGCTTAAACCAATTAATCTTGCTAGGTGCAATAAATACGGCTACATTCTTTGCAAATCATCCCTGTGTGGCTGCAAAGACAGCTACAAAAGGCTGGAACATAAACTCCGCAAGGGATTCTTTGTTAGAGTGTATGTATGTTTCTTTCTTTTTTTTTTTTTTTTATTTTGCATGTGAGCTGCATCAAAATTGGACTCAGTCTTGCAAATCTCTTGTTGGCCTTTGCCAAGCACTAGCACTTTGCTGCCATGGTAACTGTAATTAAACTGATAAGAGTGGAAAAATGTCAGTATCTCTGAGCCTTGCAGCTGCATTGGAGAAAAAGGGAATCAAATTGGTTCCCAGCTCCATTGCTCAAAAAAAAAAGGAGGGGGGAGTGGAAGGTGGATGGGGAGGGGGGTTGGGAGTCGAAGGGGCAGAACAGAGTTAAGCAGCTCCAGTGCCTGAGATCTGGGGACATCTATTTGCATTGTTGTCCCTTAGGGGGCTGCTGCCTGTAGGGATGCTCTGGGCCAGTGAACAGAGAGAAACAAGCTTTTAGGCCCAATCCAGTTTTCCAATAGGGGCTGGGGGTTGGGGAGAGGATGAAGATGGACAGGAGGAGAGAAAATCTTTTGTTTGGTACCTCTTGGCAATCGAACGGCCCTGTTGGCCAAATTCTTTTAATCTGTGTCACTGCTCCGAACTGCAGGACCTGCATTCCCATTTTAGCATCTTCCTGAGGCACCTCATCTCTGCCAACCCCCTTTATGTATCCTCTCTTCCTGTTCCTTCTCCCAAATTGTTCTCTGTGCATCTTCCAAGGGGGACAAAATGTTTTCCATTCATTATGTGTAGTTAGCCCCACAATATAAAAGACTGTTTCTAAGTGCTGCAAATCTTTTACTATTATTATTATTTTAAAATCTGGTGTGTTGTGGAGTTGTGGTTACTTTGTTGTGTTAACTACTGAAGCTGAGACTGTGTGGATGAATGGCCCAGAACAAGGGAACAGAATGGAGGCAATCAACCGTTAGGCCGCCTCACAATGCAATCCAGGCAATTAAAAGCTCACCAGAGTTTAAATGAAATGGTTCTACTTATTTCTGCACACCACACTGCACAGGCTATTATTTATGTCTTTTTTTTTAATTACGATTTCCCTTAAACTGTCAAATAACAGAATGGCAGGGTCTCAAAGGCAATAAGAATTTCCCTCAGAACAATTTACATGCCAATCTAAAACTAGTTATGAGTCCGAATGTGTTATGAGCAACTTGTGAAATGTTTCTCAGCTTACGAACACGTAACTCTACCCAGACGTGTTCTTCTGGATGGCAAGGGGAGGCCACTGGCTGCTTTATGCCTTTTAGGTACATGGCAATGTGCTGACTACAAAATAGTTCTTTTTCTACAACTGTTAACTTGAATAACATTTCAAAGGTTCCATTTTTGAGAGGAATATGATGTTCTTTAAAATAAATTACAGGGATTAAATGTAAAATATCAAACTTCTTTTATGCCTAGGGCCGAACAGAATGTAAGAGTTTCAAATATTAATTGGCCTCTGAGTGTTAAATTAAAATGTCAACACAACAAAAACATTTTGTGAAGACAAGCAGGATTGTGTGACTTGTGCCAAATGCTGGAATCTGCTGTCCTGGTAGCAAAGCATTTTCAGTAAAGATAGATGACCTTCTGCGCTTCATGGTAGTAGTACTACTATGGGAAATGTAGCTTAGCTGCTTCGAGGAAGGATTTATTTATTCTTATCTTTGAGCTATAGGATTTAAAGGTCTTTATAAATTAGAGAAATAAAATGGCTAATGTTAATATATCTCTGGATGTTTATATTAACACAATCCAGAATGTTGTTTAGTAAATCAAAATGTTCCTTCTCCCCCCAGGTAGATGGTTAAGAGGCACTTGGGTATGTTCTGCCCTGTAATTAATGGGATTCATTCCTTGTGGAACCTTGCTAGAAGTGGCTAACCAGTTCTGATCAAAGAAACTTCATTTATTAGAAGTTCTAGAGAGTGTGATTTAACAGAGCTATCAAGGGTTATGATTAATCTACACTAGACCCTTAGCTCCTTCAAAGAAAGGGAACAGAAAGCAAGCTATAGGAATACCACCTGCTCTTCTGTACAAATCGAGCTGCTGGTCTGCAGCTCGGGCAACTGCGGCTAGGCGTATCATGCAGAAAGAACAGCCACGCCACTTTCTCCCCTGCCATTCCTACTCCAGCACTGTGCCAGACAAGTTATTTTCTAAGGAAAGTTCAGCACCATAACAATATCATGTGCAATTCATGTATTATTTGGAACTAGAAAAGTTATTCAGCTGTGTGGGAGAGTACCTTGATGTCTCTTATCTGTATGATTTTTTTTTAAAAAGGTTGTTGAAGGTAATGAGGATAGAGCATTCATCATCAGGCATCAGAGGAAACTAAAGAAGGTTTAGGTATTATGGAGAAGGGAAATACAAGTGTTTATAGCTTGGCGTTTCCTTTCTTGGAACTGTTTCAAATGCATGCACATTTGGTGTTTTGTGTCCTTCTACATCCAAGTTGAAAACTTTATGCCTAGGAGAGGAAGCATAATGTAGCAGAGGGGTCTCTGGGCTTAAGAAGGCCACCTGGTCCCAAGTCCCATCGTTTAGCTTTGAGCAAGTCCCTTAACCTCTCTTGGGTCTCTATATCATATTTGTAGAGTGAGGGAATTTGGAAGAGATGATGTGTTTGGTATTTTAATAATGCCTAAAATAAATTATTTGATAAGTATGAAGTTTAAGAGTTACCCCTGCATTTTTCAAGGCTGAGTGTTTGACACTTAGGAAATAAGAAGCTCAGAGGGTAATATCCTTTCATTGAAAGGATTTCAGTCAAGTTGTAAGACCAATAGAATCCAGCTAGACCCGCTTATTTGTGATGGCGATAATCTCTAAAATGATATAAATGTCCTTATGTCTAGTATAGTATGTATATAATGTGTGTATATATTTGTGTATGTTTGTATATTTTATGTTTACATATTTGGACTTTGCCCTCTGTTTCTTTCCCCTATAAAAATAAAGAACTGTGTATTTATGGTAATAAATTATATAATCTCGTACTTCCGTTTTATATAAAAGCGTATAGTATACAGTTAGCTAATATGTCATTAATACAGGCACTAACTGATATCTATGAGTATAAATACATTTTTTAAATTTTACCATAATGAATGTTTTGAAATATTAAGGACTTAGAAGGAAACGTTAGATTGCAAACAAGTAAAATAGGATGGTGAGTTTTTCAGGTGACTACTCTGTGTACTTAACTCTAAACATTTCTGCTGCTAAGTTCGAATAGCACAGTCCCATTTAGGGTGTGCTCGTCCTCCACCCTCAAACACATACTAAGCGAAATTTTTAACCAGTTAAAACAAACTCATTTTTGACTCCTAGAAATTGTGTGTGGATTAGTTTATTAAGTAGCTTTCTTTTGAAATTGTTAGCCATTTGCTCACATGTTCTCTCTAAAAGAAACATTGTATATGGGAAGTAGGAATACTATAAAATTATTAAAAATATTTAACTCCATGTTTATCATGCTAGCTTACTGGGTACAGCATGAATTCATTATTTTTAGCAGTTTACACTCGTGACATTTGTAAATGATTTAATAAGGACTTTATAAAGTTTTGAGGCTCTTTGTTTCCAAAACTGAGTTTGATAGCAGTACGGCCCTAAAAAAAGAAAAACTAATACTCTTAGAAAAGGCAATATTAAATATTTAGCTTGTTGGCAGTCTTTTGACGTCTTTTTTATTGTCTCGCTTTTTGCTTTTGTCTTCTTTTAGGTATACAAATGCTCTCAGTCCAGCCAGACACCAAGCCGAAAGGTTGTGCTGGCTGCAACCGAAAGATCAAGGACCGCTATCTTCTAAAGGCGTTGGACAAATACTGGCATGAAGACTGTCTGAAGTGTGCATGCTGTGACTGTCGTTTGGGAGAGGTGGGCTCCACCCTGTACACTAAAGCTAATCTTATCCTTTGTCGCAGAGACTATCTGAGGTAGGAATTATCCTTGCACACCAGTGATGACTGGATGCCTTTTAAAATACTTTTGTAAGTGTATTTTTTGTTTGGTTTATTTCTTTACTACCAGCTATTTTCCTGAAACATGTTGACCTGTCAGCCTTCAGAATGCTGTCCGGTGTGTGTTACTCAAATTACTACTTAAGCAATGGCCAACAAAACACTATATCCAAAGTGTTTCAGTTTGGTGTACCTGGATGTTGTATTTAGGAATAAGTTGTTCTACTGCCTGTATTGAAACTGCCAGTTAATGTCAAGGATGTATTTGATAGAAATCAGCATACCAGTTTTTTAGTAGATCATAAGAGGCAAGGTGGGCTGAGCATAATACAAAGAAATGGGTCAGCTGCTTGGCTAAACAGTTTATAATCTTTATTTTTATAACTTCCAATTTTACTCAGATACCACAGGAAATAGTTGAACTACTGCTTTTTAGTTGGACCTGAATTTAGTCCTCTAAAGTTAATCAGTTATCTTTTCTGATTCAGATTTGTCAGAGAAAGTTTGCTTTTCAATTCTTTACTGGTATTTACTAGTATACTTATTGTACAGTTTCGAAAATGTTCCCCAAGTGTGAATGAATCTCCCCCTTGTGACATTTCAAATGGCCGTCACTAAGACGCTGAACAAACTCAACTTACCAGTAGCTTTATGGAAAATAACAAAGACCACCATCATCACTGGGAAACGTTAGCCAATTTCCGATATGTAAATGGCTAAACGGTTTCAGAACACGGCAGGTGTTATCAGTTTTAAAGCCACAAAGTGAGATAAAGCATCAGAGAACTAACTCCTATCTTCTCATGTTAGCCAGCATTTAGTACTCAACACATAAACTTCTCTTTAGGAAAAATCATTTTGTTTTTTAAGGAACTTTGAGACTTGATTCAGCTGCAAATTGCATTATTAATAAAGCAGGACCTATCAAATTAGAGAAATGATATATGGCATCATTTAGATTTCCATTATTTGACACAATTAATCATTTTTCTAGTCTGACATTAAGCGGTTTATTTTAAAACTTTCTGCCTATAATACAAAATTTATCAATTAGCAGTGACTCCTTAACCATCTTGGTCATTCACTTTGAAGGGGTTTTCAAGGGAATTTGATGCTTTTCAGTATGTAATTCAGTTATTTGCAGTCAGATTCAATGTTTATATACAAAAATATATTATTTGATTAATGGTAGTTAGGACGGTGAATTAAATATTTTTATTAGATGCTGCTGTGTGCCCCTCTTAGGACTGCCTCATCTGGCAGCCTCCTCACTAACTCTGACCACTTGTTACTACCTCTCTGTGCTCCAGGTGCACAAAACACATACAAGGTGCCAACAGTAGGGAGTGATTCTACAGCCAGGATTTCCCTCACTGTGGTGGCACAACTAATCAGAATTAACATATTGCATGGACTCTTTTAGAACTTTCTAGTCTTAACTATTCTCTTTGAAATAAAAATTTCTCCTCTGTTCATTGAGTTAGAGCCTCGTTCCACATAAACCGTTTGTATTTGCTGTTAGTAATTTCACATTGCTTACCTAGTTTTGCTTTATCTGCACTAACCAGTAAATCACAGCTTTTTGACTCCTTTTTAACTTTTACATTTGTTCACAATTTCAGTGTTTCAAGTGGGTTTATGTTAGAGCAATTCCAATCAAAGATTTTATATAGTCTGGGCAAGA